CTTGATACTAAAAGCCAAAAAGCAGTTAGCAGATCTGACTTGGACTGGGGACATGGAGAAGGTTTATCTCCAAAATCATTTGGGTTTTCAGGAAGTGAAAGGACACCAAATCTTTAGCTTCACTCACATTTGCCTTGAGCTCTGAGCAAGATGAAGTGGATTTAGCAAGGAAGAAGAATTCCTTGATTACAGAATTGGGACCAAATGGGAAATTTTAAGGGGAAGGGAAAGAAACCACCAAAGCAGTAAACTGTTGGAATGTCACTGCCATTGTTGCTGCTGAGCATCTGTGAATGTGTCTCTGCTTCTGCTTTCATTTTCTGTTCTAATTTAAGTTGTCTCACTGCTCTGACATCTCCCTTAGGTGCTTCACTCCAAATAAACTGCTCTGAAACTCAGTTGAAAGACCTTTCTTCTGTATGAGGACAATCCTGGAGTGCTGATGGGTGTTTTTTCCCCCCATCCAAGTTTATCATCGCTTTTGAAGAAGTTAATTTACTAATCTAGTTGAACACATCCTTGCTCATTGCAGGAGGGTTGGACTAGATGACCTTTAAAGGTCTCTTGCAACCTGAACTCTTCTATGGTCACTGTAACACTCCAAATCTCATTTTAAAATCTGTTTTAGAGGTTTCATTCTTTTGGAAAAAACTAATTTTCTAGAAATTTTGCACCTTCTGCACTAACACCTCATCCATAAATCTGCATTTTGGGTACCACCACCTCCTGCACTTGCACATGAGGTCCTTTGAGACAGGCCAGTGTAGATTTTTCACTCCCATCAGCAAAAAGTGGGAAGAGAAAAACACAGTAAGCATGGAAGACAAAGCTGCTGAAAGGAGAAGGTTAAGCATTATATAGATCATGACCTGAACTGACACGTGGAACTGTGCAATGATAACCAAGATGATGTGATTCTACCTGAATATTCCTCCTGTCTGAGTTGGGGTAGCTGTCACAGGTGTGTCAGTCTAGCATCAGTTTTGATGTCACGAAGGTGTTATTTTGGGTACCAGCAGCACAAGGCTATTGGCTACTACAGGAGAAAAATCCAGAGAGCTCTTGTGCTGAGAGATTTTGATTAAGCAGCGAAGTGTGTTTAAATCTGTTTTCTTATCAGTTCTTTTGAGTTCATCTGTCTCAGGAATTCTGTCTCACATGGTACGTGTTGTGACGTGGTGGTGGTGGATAAATCCAGGCTGTCTTGGACAACAGAGCCTGTTAGGATTGCCTGAGGATTGGGAATGGGGAGAAAGCATCACTATTTTTGTAGTCCCTCGCTGGGTTATGGGATGTTATAATAAACCCAGTGAACTTTGCTTCCAGAATTGCCCCTTTAGCAGCCTCAACACTGACACTGATCTCTGTTTTTTTCCGAATCATTCAATATTTGGCACACTCTGTCCATGATTTCAGGCTTTAGCTGTCACAGATTATTTATGCCGGGTACAGATGCTTCCAGTGAATGGTTTATCTTGGATTTTTGCCACGTGTTGCTTACGCTGTCCCTGAAAACGAAAATACTGAGCTTGGTCTTTGGGAATGTATATTAAACTGTGCTCAAGTAGGAAAAGATCACGTAGAATGTAAAAATAAACCACTATTTACAAGCTTAGTGTATGCCCAAAGGCTTGTTGACTATCAAAAATTTAGTCTTTTGCTGTCAACCTGCTGGTAACCAGATAGTTATTGTCAGTTTTATCAGGGCCCCTTGGAAGTGTGAACTTATTTTGTTATACAGGAGGACACAAAGCTTATTTGTCACCTCGTGTTTGGAGCTTGTGCTTTTTACGTTGCAGGTAGAATTATATTAGGGTAGTAAAATCAAGCAAAAATCAGCATTCAGGGTTAATTTGGGTATATGCTCCAAGCACTGCCAGAGGTTGCTGAGGGAAGCTGTGACTGCTCCATCCCTGGGAGTGTTCCAGGCCAGACTGGACAGGACCTGGAGCAACCTGGTGTAGTGGAAGGTGTCCCTGCCCATGGCAGGGAGTGGAATGAGATGATGTTGAAGGTTCCTTCCCACCTAGACCAGTCTGTGATTCTATATTGGCTTAAGATGTCACAAACATTTCCTTTTATAGACGTGCAGAGTCTGTAAATTTTTGGCCAGGGTGTTGATGGTGTAAATGGCTGAAACGTAGTGTCATTTTTATAGGTTCTCATTCAAATGTAAATGCAGAGTGACTCGAAAGGCCTTTAATTAAAGTAGTGCAGAGAGCAAGTACTCACAGGTGGCAAAACACTTCCAGTGTCATGCTTTTCATATTCCCATTGGATTTTTTTATGTCCAAACACAAAAAATAGGATGAATTTTTAAAGTCATATAATATCTAGTAGTGCTTTGACCACTTGTTAGGAGAGCTTTTCTCCCTGACATGTGTTAATTACCTACTGACACATATTTCACTGCCATGTTTCCTCCAAAATAGTTGGGAAAAAGCAGGAGTGCACAAGGCGTGTTGGATGCTGAGCAGATCCAGGCTCGTGTGCAGCAGTGGTTGGGAGACCACAAGCAATTAAGTTCATTAATGTTGCTTTGCCCTCACACAATACTCAGAGCCACGTTTAGTGTTATTACCAGGAAAGCCTGTGACACGGCTCTGTGATTTATGGGGCTCAAATTAACACCCCTGCGCGCTCTGACCTCGCCAAATTTCCCAGTCATTAGTGGAAGCTTCTGGTGTTTGGGTGGTTTTAGGGGGGAACTTGGCTCTTGTGTGTTCCCAGAGTCACTGGGGCTTTTGGCATCTTCATGGGATTTGTGCTTGGCTCACAATCATCTTCCATGAATTCAAGTGGATGCAGGAGACACAGATGTTTGTTATTATACCAGTTCCATGTGGAATAGGCATCTATAGAGACGGGAGGAAAGCTGTTGGGTAGGTGGGGTAGAGTGGCCTGATGCTTTATAGCCTATTTATTGAGCTTGCAGGCAGGAGGGAGGAGGGAAGGTCAGTTTGCACAAGGTAACCAACTTAAAGTCCTGTTTGCACTTCTCAGGTGAGTCAACACAGATGTTTGTTATTATACCAGTTCCATGTGGAATAGGCATCTATAGAGACGGGAGGAAAGCTGTTGGGTAGGTGGGGTAGAGTGGCCTGATGCTTTATAGCCTATTTATTGAGCTTGCAGGCAGGAGGGAGGAGGGAAGGTCAGTTTGCACAAGGTAACCAACTTAAAGTCCTGTTTGCACTTCTCAGGTGAGTCAGCAGCCTCTGGTAATGCAAATAAAAGTAGCCAATCCTCCTGTGTAAGCTTTGAAGTAAAATCTTGGTGAGGAATTATTGAGCTTAAGTATGATGGAGTTGGTTCCCCCCCTCCCCTCCTTGATGAAAAGGTGATGCTGTAGTTGCAGAGCTCCACAAAGCAAACCTAACCCAGCACCTCACTGACATCATCCCTGTTGCATCTGTGCCTATAGTAAAGCCATAGGAGCAGCTGGAACACTTCCCAGTGTATAATGTATGTCCTGCTACCAAGCAATGCTCCGTGAATCCCTGCCAGATGTATTTCACTGGGACGTATTAAATTGCTTTGCCTTGAAGAGCGCGTGGCTGGGGATAATAGACTTGATGAAATATTGGAACGAGAAACAATGCAAGGTAAAATAATGCTGTTCATTTGAGGGTCTCAGAAATGAAACAGATCTCCTCATCTCAGCCTTGGAATGGATGTAGGAGATGAGGGTGACTGTGCTTAGACTGAAGGTCGTGGATCTGGGTACTTGGAGAAAGGGCAACCAGTGAAATGCTTCCTTTGAATACTCTTCCTGGCATTGAATATCTGAAGCTGAGGGGCTCCTTAAACCTGATGTGGGTTTTGTCCTCATGTTTTTTGACCACTCTTGAGCATTTTGTTGATACCATGAGGGAACTGCTGTAGTTGTGAGGTCTCGCTCCTGTGGGGCAGTGCTCAAGGGAAAGCTCAACATTATATGTAATGTTAGAATGAGCATCATGTGAATTTCAAACTGTGTTGTCACCTGCCACTTGATTGCCCAGATCCTGGCTCTGATGGTCCTCTGCATTTTGTGATAGTTCCTTCTTGTCTTTGCATTAAAATGACTCTTAACACCTCTCAGGGCAGTTTGGAGTTTGTTTGAACTGAGGACCTTTAACTCATTTTGCTTTCATTTGGGGCTTCTGGTGGGATGTCATCTTCTTCTAGTGGTGAGGTTTGAGAAATGAGCTGTGCATTTGATGTTTCAACGCCAGAAGTTTGTGTTCTGTGGGTTTTAAGCAGTATGAGAGAAATAAGATATGTGGTTGTACAAGGGATTTGGCTGTAATAGCTCATGTCTGGGGTCAGGTATGGACAGTTCTGAAAAGGTGGGACCTGGTAGGGAGAAAAGTGCTGCTGTTTCAATCCTGATGGGTTCAGAATCTCCTGGACAGGAAGAGGGAAGGGTTTGTTTGCTATTCATGAGCACAGGACCATGGAAAAATATATGTAGGGCAGGGACCAGGTCCACAGGGGGAGGTGATGGTCATTTTAGCTTAGCAGGTAAAGTTGGAGGGTGCTGTGTGCCACATGTCCATGAGAATTGATTCAGTAGGATGTCTGGTATTGCTTTTATTCTCTGTAGAATATGCTGAAAATTGGAGGATCTTTTTGTAGCTTTGATGCTTCAAATTTGGGGCAAAATTAGCAAAAGCTTGAAGTGCTGTGGGAGTTATGTCTGGGTAGAAAAGCCTGTGATGTTTGGGTGTTAAATATCTTTATTTATTACAGCCTTGTTGTATGAAAACTCTGCTCTCTCCTTCAGGTGTCGGTTGGGAATCCTAATTTGGTTTCTTTGAGGTGATGGGAATCATCACTTGAGTTGCCTCATTGCATCTCATGGCACACATCAAGTGCTTTTCACGAATCCCTGCCAAGATAACACCTAACCTGGTTTTTGTTCTGCTTTTTTTTTCAGCATTGCTGACATGATGACCTGACAAGATATTGGATGGTCCTGACTATGCAGTGCAGGTACTGATGGGAAAGGATCCAATATGAGTGTAAATGATGTTGGAGGAAGACGACGCTTTGAGGATAGCGAGTACACACTGCACATATACCCCGGGAGCATCGCAGAAGGGACTATCTACTGCCCCATCACTGCCAGGAAAACCTCCACGGCTGCTGAGGTGATTGAGTCACTCATTAACAAACTACAGCTGGAGAAAACAAAATGTTACGTCCTGGCCGAAGTGAAGGAGTTTGGTGGGGAGGAATGGATCCTCAACCCTACGGACTGCCCTGTCCAGCGCATGATGCTGTGGCCTCGCATGGCGCTGGAGAATCGCATCAGCGGCGAGGATTATCGCTTCCTCCTGCGGGAGAAGAACCTGGACGGCTCCATTCACTACGGGAGCCTCCAGTCCTGGCTGCGGGTGACGGAGGAGCGGCGCAGGATGGTGGAGCGTGGCTTCCTCCCCCAGCCGCAGCAGAAGGACTACGATGACTTATGTGGGCTGCCAGATTTGAACGAGAAAACACTCCTGGAAAACCTCCGAAACCGCTTCAAGCAGGAAAAAATCTACACCTATGTCGGCAGCATCCTCATCGTTATTAATCCCTTCAAGTTTCTCCCTATTTATAACCCCAAGTATGTCAAGATGTATGATAACCATCAGCTGGGGAAGCTGGAGCCCCATATTTACGCTGTGGCAGACGTGGCTTACCACGCAATGCTTCAGCGGAAGAAGAACCAGTGCATTGTGATTTCAGGAGAGAGCGGCTCGGGAAAGACACAGAGCACCAACTTTCTGATTCATCACCTCACCGCTCTCAGCCAGAAGGGATTTGCCAGTGGAGTAGAACAGATTATTCTTGGAGCTGGACCAGTGCTTGAGGTAAGATGAAAACGATAGTGTGGAAACTTTTCGACGGTGAAAAAAACCCTAAACCTAAGTAGTTGAGGGTTTATTATGACACTACCTGGGATTAGCTCATAGTAACAACAGTATTAGCAGTGAGAGGAGGTTGTGTTTCTGCCTATGGAATCCTACCTGCTTCCAAAAAAAAAAGAAAAAGAAGAAAAATAAAAGGACAGCAGATGGCTTTCTGCCAGATTTATTAATGGTTTGTTTTCACTCAAGTGTTTCTCAATGCTGTAATGTCTCTGATTTCTCAGTGTGAAGATAGAAATGAGAATTATGGGTAGCCATTCTTATAATAACTGAAAAGAGAATTCATTGCATGCAGCGTATTGATAACATTGTATTTATGCAGTTTCTCTGCATTCAATTTTTTTGAGGTGGGGAAGAGATCAAAGGCAACTTTTGTGGTCAAAATTGTGTTTTCTAATCATTAGTGCTTGACTTGGCTGCTGTGACTGGTTACTGTATGAGGACTTTTCTGGCATGGGGAGGGAGATGAGATGAACTGCACCATGAGCTTTGCAGATATGGAACTCTGGAGAGGGATACAAGCATTCATTCACTGATTTGCCTTGAGGTTGCCCCTTAACTCTTTGAGATGGTTTTCCCTGGAATTCCCAGCTTTGCTTGTTAGACTTTGCTTGGATAAAGCTCATCAGCTCATGGGTGACGTGAGCATCAGCTTCGGCCGTGCCGTTGTCCTTGGGAACTGCAGTGCAGAGGTGGTTTGATGGCTGTGTTCTCTTCTCTTAAAATAAAAAGTGGCTAAAAGACTAATATATAATAAAACTCATGGAATTTTGGGCATCTGTTTTCTATTTTAAAATGGGTTTTTTTTGTTGTAGACAAAGCTGTCTACTTTTTGGGCGTCTGTTTTCTATTTTAAAATGGGGTTTTTTTGTTGTAGACAAAGCTGTCTACTCCCTGTGTCTATATTCCATTATGGAGTCTGAGCACTCAGGTCTACTTCAACTACCAGCAGAAGACTGGGAGTCATAGGAAGGGCTAGTGCTTGTGGATGTGTCAGCTAAGGATAAGCAAATAGCTTCATTGTGCAAAGCCTACAGGTTTTTGTTTCTGTTTTCACATTGGGTAGAATGGGCTGAGCTAATTTAGTCTGGAGTTAGCAAGTGGTTGGAGTCATTTGGGATGGGCTTTGCCCTGGAAAGCAGCAAAGCTGCGTGACACACTGAAGGTTAAAGAAATGAAAAAGGCTTTTCATGTGGGACAGTCAGCATGAAGCTGGCTGTGTGTTAGTTCTTTTGAAGCACACAGGCAAGCAGGCTCCCTGTTCTCACTCATCAGTGTTTCTCCTGTTTAGTCTGAGGGATTATGGAGTTGTTTCTTTCTGGAGTCGATGATGAAATACCAAGCCAAACTCTGGTCTGTAATTAATGGTGGTTACTGCAGTGACCCAAGCAGGTGACCACATTAATTTAAGAAAACAGTTATGAAAACTATTGCATGCCACCTGCAATCCTGTTGTTCCACCTGAAATCCTGTTATTTATTTCCATGCTGTTTGGGTTTTTGTATGTTCTTTAATGTATCTTGTTGGACCAAGGTCCTTTTGTAGTTCCTTTAAGCAGTGCCAGAGAACATCTCTATCTAGGTTAGATCTCCAGAAGTGGAGAAGACAGAGTTCTCCATGAAAGAGAAGGTAGAATGAAGTTTTAGGACTTTTTTTTTTTTTTTCCTTTCAATTCTACCTTTTTCACAAGTAGGTAGTCCACTTGCTTGGCTCTTGGATAGAGAGCAGCAGCACAAATGGTGTATTGGTTATGATGCTTTGGTGACAGTCTCATACTTCCTCCTAAGGACTGTTCACAGACTGGTTTGGGTTGGAAGGGACCTTGAATCTCATCTCATTCCACCCCCTGCCATGGGCAGGGACTCCTTCCACTAGACCAGATTGCTCTGAGCCCTGTCCAACCTGGCCTCGAACACATTCAGGGATTGGAGCAGCCACAGCTTCTCTGGACAACCTGTGCCAGTGCCTCAGTACCCTCACAGGGAACAATTTCTTCCTAAGTTTTAAGCTTCTTTTCCTTTAAAAAGCACTTTTGTGGTTTCCCTTCTTGGTTCCCTTTCCACTAGACAAGGTCACTGAGAGCCCATCTAGCCTGGCCAGTTGCGTGTGTTGGGATTAGGTACAGGGCAGGGATGCACTAAGCCTTGTTGCTTTCGCAAGATCCACAGCTGTTTTTAAGGAAAAAAAAAAAAGAAATCTGAATCATATCTGTTATTTTTTTGCTGTTGGCACAGCAGTTTGCATTCCTTCGCTCCAGCAGCTGGACGGCTGCTGTTGTGCTTCTGCTGCTTCCAGGTCACTTGGAGAAAGTGAGGGTAATCCAGAATTTCTTCTCTTCTGCCAGTGCCAGTCCAAACCATGCAGACTGAAAGATAAAGTGGGCATACTTCTGCTTTTCCTTTCCTTCCTAAAACTTCCTGAGAAAGGGATGTATGTGGCACAGCTGTTGTGGCAGGTTGTGTTACCCTGGCACCGTTTGCATGTTTGACCTTTTGATTTGTGGTTGAAATGAATTTTTCACTTCTCTGGAAGTTTTGATTATTTTTTTCCCCTCTTTCAGCCTTCTCCTTTCCTCCAGACACCTCCTTCAACCCCCTTGTTTTCCCTCTGCCTGTCTAAAATCAGATTATATTCAGCTCAGGCTTGTCTTTCAGGATGCAGCAACGAAGCTCTTCATGCTGCGACTTCCTGATGTAGGGATGGAGCAACTAAGATCTTACTCAGACCTGTTAACCTCT